AGAAACAGAAAACTTTKGGGAAAAAATACATTCAGCTATTTGCCAAATTAGCAAATACAGGCTGCTAAATTTCTGTTGCTAACATTCATTCTTGGAATGATACCTCCTCAGTAAGCCAGATTCTGCAGTCATCAGTCAGGAAAAACTTCTACCAGCTCTGAGGAGAAGAACAAAAACTGCTTTCCTTTGTTTTGGTCTAAATGCCCTGCCTTCAACAGGAATGTCCAAAAGATAAGAACAGAATGCACTAAAGGATGTAGGATTTGATTTACGGTTATCACGTAGTACTGACGGCCCCAAACAAAACTCAGAAAACAAAAAAACTCCATAAGCAGCAACATGGAAGGGTTAAATAAAGTCTTTGAGTTTCTGTGCTCAGATAGGTCCTCCTTCCCTTATTCCCCTCTTCACAAACCATTTCAGAAAACCTCTSTTTGACAGAAGATGAACTGCTAGTCTGTAGCAGGGTGGGGGAAAAAGGAGAGCCAAATATAAGTAAAAGTATCCACAAGAAATGAAGTTGGAAAATTCCAGCATGGAGGAGATCTGCCCATCACCACAATGGACAATTAAATGGAAGAGAAAAGAAAATCACATTTTGATCMTGGACATGGATGGATCAAATTAAGGATTAAGGAAAATTAAGGAAGCAGCAAGGTGGATGCCAAAAAAATATGGCACAGAGCATCTCAAATGAAGAGGGGCTGGAGGAGGCCAGGCAGCTAGGACTGTTTATCTATAAATCATGACGGATGAATAGATTAACCCCTTAGTGTGATACTGAGAGTCACAGATAGACCTAAATTGCACCGGAAAGACTTCAGACCAAGAGAAAGCAAGAGGAAGGGTGAAGGACATGGCAATGTCATCTCAATGAACTTCTTTAGATGTCAAGTAATAGCACATGGAACTGCTCAGCCTCTTCCCTCTGTGCCAACCCGACAAGAGAAAGCAGCTGACAGCACCAAGGACAGCACCGAGACAGGTCTGAACTTCTTCCCTTGCTTTCCAAAAAAAAGCAGCGCAGAATAAAAAGCTGGTGGAGCCCTGTCCCCGTCACTAAAGGCTCAGACCTGTTGCCACTTGATGAGTCCTTCAGGAAACAGAAGGAACAGGCTACGTGGACAAGTTCTTCTCAACACTTTCCTCCCAACAGCCTCACTGCTTTCAGAGCAAACAGCACAGAAACCCTGTTCGTGCTGCACTGCCAGGGCTCCAGCTTGCCCTGGAAATGGGGTGTTAATGGTTAAGGATAATGCTTTTTCCTGCAGCACTTATTTGAGACTGAACACAAAGCCATGAGCAATACCCAGGAGGAAAGATATATGAATATTTAACAAGTTTTCTTAACATAAACTTAAATACTTTCTAACTATCCAGCCTATGTCTCCACAGTTTTACTACCCATGTTGTTAAGCACAGCTATGCTGCACTACAAACACGTGCATAAAGTCCAGCTAGGGCAGCAAAATATTTGAGGGACCCTCTGGCTGGGTGCTGAGTGGCCTTATAYGCAAAAGGGAGACCTTATCTTCAGTTTTCAAGTACAACAGCAATACAAAAATAAAGGTCCAAACGGTCGAAAACAAGGGTTTGTTTCATAAATTACCACAGGCCACATTTTAAGCCATGGAGAAGCAACCATCATAGTAGTACTGAAGGAGATGGAGCTTGCTAAGAAGATCAGYTCTTAATTAATAGGGATTTGCATGAGAGGAGCATGCACGCAGGACTGCACAGCACTCCTGTGGGCTGTGGTTAGGTGCTGTCAATGTGTAATGACCAAAACATGCTCCAAATGCAAGACCTGAAGAAGTTAACTCCGGAGTTAACTTTCGAGAGCCTCCAATAAAAATGTTTGAGACACGCAGCACTATCTTCTTATCTTGCATGGCGGTTCCTTGCAGAAAGATAAATTCTCTCCTTAAAAAAAAAAAGTGCTGAGAAAACTTTAAAGCCAAAGCACAAGAAGAACCTCCACCGCTGCAAGTCAAAATTATCCGTGTGTTTCTGTCCTCGGCAGCTTTAGGGACAGGATGAAGATTAAAAGACTCAGTCCCTATGGCCACTCAGATCTCTGCCCAATGCTGCAACGAGCCACACTTGATTTCAAGGCTTGCAGTCTGCCTCATTTTAGCTCCCTTCTTCAGACTCAGGTGCCTCTAAGCCGTAACGGGTTCATCAACAGAACCTTAAACCCAAAATATTTAACTTCCACTTTCCCTCGTAAGTTTGCTCTCCCCAGTTCCTATCTGGTAACACCACAAGCGGACAGAAATTAGGGAAACCTGGTAAAATAAACACAGTTTTTACTATCTGACCTAAAACTGCAGCCTGGACTAGCAGTGGGAGCCTAGAACAGACCTCTTCTCTTTAGAYGGATCTCCTACTTCTTTAGAGCACAAACGACACTCATCTTGCACCATACACTTACTTGCTTTGCAAAGCCTGTTTTGTCATTTTATTACATGTGGAGGAGGGCTATTTTTTGGTAAATCTAAATCTGTACATAGGTTTTACGGTCACTTGCCTATATTGTTTATAGTACATTATGTGTTTTCTATTTTTATCTTGAACAAAATTGACCACTACTTTGTGGTACATGGAAACCACATATTTTTCAAGCCGGCGTACACAGATGCCACTTCCTTGGTCGGCCATATGCGTTCTTTTCTTTTATTTGAATTGTATTTCATGTGGTTTAATTGCAGTGTTTATTTACACGGCAATGACAGAGCATTAATTTTACTGCAGAAGAACAAAAGGATAAATGAGCGTCCTGAATGGCAAAGCTCCAAGATGCCATTTCACCAATACCACACATCAGTGTCTTGATCTACACAAATTATTTGAAAATTACCTCACTCCCAAACCCAAGTAATGACTGAATTTATATTGAAGGATGAGGTTACCCTTCTTTCATTAATATCTGTATCACCTCAGGCTCTTCTTCTCCTTTATTTATGAAGCTGTCTACATCTTTTGATATCTGGGCTAAAGATGGAGTCATTCCCGGAGTCTTGTCTCGCACTTCTTTGCTTCCCTGAACTTACCCTGTCTGGCGTTACAGAAAAGGGGAAAAAAAATATATTTGCTTTAAATAGGAAAAATTCTCTGTGTTCCCACCTTTTTTTTTTTCCCTGCATGCCAAACAACAGCAACATTCCTCGGTTTACGGCAATTACTTTTATTTTGTAGGTGTTAACAGAAGTTGATAAAATGCAGAACAGTCTGGTAGTTAGTCTGGTTTTAAAGCAGATATATTGCCTTGCTGCGAGTCATAGCACTACACAATGCTTCTTCCATGCATAGTCTTACAGGAAAATAAGTATGAAAAGTCAGTCTTAAAAAGCAGATTTGAAAAAAAAATCACTATTAYGAAAATATCAAATGAAGGTGCTATTAGATGCTCTTTGGATTTCAGGAAGAAAAAAAGAAAACATGGGCAAAAACTGGCTTTTTCCTTCAGGTTAATTTTAACAGAGCTGAAAAGAGTGAGCAGGCAGCTGTGCATCTAGAGACTGAAAAGGCTGCACTCAATACCAAACTCTATGTTGTGCTCTGACTGTCAGACAGCAAAGGAGATACTGTGGTCACTGCAAGTCTGTAATGCTGCATTCAGTACAGATGGCAGAGCCTTTACTCTTGTCCTGACCTACGCAGGTTTTCTTCTGGAAACACATTTTCCACTGCTGCTGCCAGCACAATTTGAAAGCCTTCAAGCAGTAGATCTTTTACTTTATCCCAATGTCGGAAATTCAACCCTCCAGATGCTTCGCAAAAATCCTTCCAGTCTTCCATTTGTTTTCTTTTGTTAAATGTATGCCCAGGACATGCCAGCACCATGCGCATCACCCTGCTTAAGATCCACGGTGAAAGAACCATCCCAGATAGCCCTTCTCAAGAGCAAAAAATGTAAAAGGATCTTTGTTCTTCTCAAACACAGGCCAGATTAATTCTCCAGCATCGGCTGGAGATGGTCATGCTAAATTACAGTGATCTCAGAAGCCTCCAAGACGGAAGTTACAAAGACTGACTTTGCTGGACCCCCCAAACCCAGGTGTGTTTTACTAATCTCTGTCACTCCCTCCAGCACAGAGGGAGTGCAGCACAGGAAGCAGCAGGATGGTCCTATGCTTGAAGACCCTCTTTTCCAACAGACTTGAATTTCACAGTTTCTAGGAGTTCTGGGATCAAAGTTTACTTGGAGGCACTCTACTCCACACCACTCTACTCCAGCAACATCAGTATACTCAATGGGCATATGGGCATATATTTTTTTCCAGTAAAATATATACAAAAAGAGACAWCCAGCTTCAGATTTTCTCTAAAAAAGACCTGTTTGGGCAGCTTGAAAAGACACAGCAAAAATCTCATCAACCCGAGCTAAACTAAGCCAAAGATCCTGGCAAGACACCTGAGAAAATGCCTCTTCCACTTCAACACTGAGTAAGCACAACAAGCAACAACCCACAAGTAACGCCAAAACCACAGATACGTGTCTTACTGAACACTGGGAAAGATGCGTTTCCTTTCAACACCTGGAATTCCTGTTCTAGTCTCCTTCGTAAGTCGATTTGTTCGAACAAAACCTTCTGGAGTTCCTCTAACAGAGAGAAAAGAAAAGCGCTTTTACGGATCTGTATAAATAATTCTTGAGAGAACAGTTGCAGAGCAATTCATTACTATAAGACAAAATATTTTAGCAGTTATTAAAAAAAAAAAGTGTTGCATAGACCTACGATAGATTTTGTGCAAAAAGCCATGAATATAAATCAATGTAATATATTATTTTAAAGTATTATATTACAGTGTCATGTATTGATTGATATATATGCATTAATCTCAATTATATCCACCCAAAGGTCCATATATTATTCATATGTTACTTGACAAGCTTAAAATATGGTGCAGAACAAAAATGCCCCCTATTATCCTCATATTCTATTAAAACAAAGAGCAGTTTTATAACATAAGAGGTACTTATTTATTTTACCTTTTCCCATGTTTTCCACATCCTTCTTCAGTGAATGAGGTGAATTGGTTTCTTGAGTGTGTTCGCCTTAAAAAAAAGGAAAACAAAGAACTTATTGATTTGCCAATATTGCTTTGTATCAGTACTGTTGTTACTATGTAATTGCTTCAGAGTCTGGAAATAAAAAAAAAAAATAAAGAAAAAAGGAAAAAAAGAAGACATGTTTCTGCACAACACGCAGAGGCCACTCCTGAGCAGGACAAGCCACTTTGTGACCACAGATATTTTGTCTTTACAAGTGAAGATTCTCAGCTTTGGCCTGGGTAGCGTAGCCCTCGCGGCTCTCAGGATCTCCAGCGTGCTCTCGTGCTCTGCTCCAACACGTTTGGCTGCAGAAACACTCTCCCTGAAATGCTACTCCATCCATTTCTTCAGCACAGCCCATTCCACGTTGCTTAGCATGTGTTAGTGCATGTGGCTTTGCTTCTTGTTTAGTAAAGTATCTCCCTACACCACAGACTGGAATTTCTCCCAACTCCCAGCAGACACTTGAGGTCTCCTCAGTGCCTCGGAGAGCCCTTCTGGCAAGCACGGAACAGGGCACAGCCTTCTCTGCAGTCTCATCTCTCTTTGCAAAAGGATACTAAAGTTATCCAGCTGCACAGACCCTTTCCATCCAAAATTTTTAAAGTAAAAGTCTTTTTGCACCAGCCTGCCTGCCTTCTTCAGCTCTTCACACTGCTTTTACAGCCCTATGGCATGGGTTGGCCTTTTCCAAATATACTTTCTTATCCATCTGAAACAAAACTCGGAGGACACTGCTCTGAAGTCAACAAATCCAGGGATTTCTGTCCTGGGTAACTTACATACCTTTTAATAATGAAGTAAGAGTGTTTTTTTCTGCATTATGGAATTTAATTATTTCTAAATATACACACACTGCTTCTTGCAATCTTCTTTCTTTACAAAAGAAAAATGAACAAACAAAAAAACACCCAATGCATTAAGTTTACGTGGATGACAGTTTAACTAAGTGTGAACCCTTCAACAGACTTACTAAATTACCCCTTGGAACTCTGAAATTTTCCGCTAATTTCTATGAATAGAGTTTTGAAACAAAAAGCCCTGAAAACAGATTTTTAAAAGACAACTATCACTTGCATAGAAATTAAAGGGAGACTTTCTCTTACTTACAGTAGAAATGGTCTCCTAGTAATTAACAAAATATTAGACAGTCAATTGTTGAACTAAGTCTTGTTTTAGTCCAATGAGTAAACACACATAATCAACTTCAGTCCTAAGCAATTCCACTGAAGATACATACGTAAAGCTACCCAGGTGTTTATGTGCTTGCAGAAACGAGTTTTGGAGAAAAAGCCCTGCTTTTTTGGAATATACTAAGGTAGAGCAAGGAACAGGTCGCTATCCAAGAGATAAKATAGCAACTACTTAAGGAATTCTTACTATTACATGCATTTGATAGCAGGTCGTGACACTGAGTTAATTTGAAAGTCCAACTGGAAAGTCTAGTTTCAAATGCAGTCAAAAATCTTTTGGCAAAACACGTATTTCTACTTTCAAAATCAATGTGTTCCTATATCCCGTAAACCTCTAAGTCATAGTACAGTATATGAAACATATTCCATATCAAAGCAATTTAGGACTGCTCACTCTTCTTCTTTCCTAATAAAATCACTCGAGCAGCCACATACGTTTAAACAACTGCTACCTGCTGTCAGGACTTACATTTAAAAAAAAATCTGTTTATATATACAATCACACTTTTCTTTATATATATATTTGATATAAATAAAGTATTTTCTTCAGATAATTTGTTTCACAACATTAAAAGAAACAATAAGCTTAAAATTCAAAAGAAAAATATATCACCCTTTAGGCAGAGGTTTAGGTGTTTGCATAAGGTAAAATCATTCTTGTTTTAGTTAACAGTTCCATTCTGAACATGATTGCTAATAAAAAAATTCTGAAAGAAAAACTTAAGTTATTGAAAGAGTATTTTAAAAATGATAAACACTGGTATTTTTCCCCCAAATCAGTTTCTTTCACTTAGCTTTTTTTTTTTTTTTTTTTTTGAATGTTTCATGAGCTACTTTGAGGAAGAACAGACTTACAGATAGAAGGTAATTGGATTCTCCAAGGGGGAGGAAAAGAACAGGGAAGGGACTAGATCCTAAGGTACAGCATGTGGCAACACAGACAGTCCTTTCCCAACTGCTTGGATCAGCTTTCAGGGTTGGTGGTTTGAAGCTGCCGACTTGCTGGGACCAAAAGAGCTGCATCAAGATGGAAGTAAGAGCATAAAGCACAAAAAAATAACTTCTTCAGCATCTGCAGCATCCCTACTAACCTGCAGAAAGGTTTGTTAAAAAATCGCCCATCCTTGCTACCAAAATAGGAATGAGCAGGATGGGAAGAGTGAGGATATTTAAAGGCAAAAAAAAAAAAAAGCGCATACATGACTTTAAAGGCTCAACTACATTTTTAAACTGCTTTCTGATATTAAAAAATGTCCTGACTTTGTAATCATTAATAGTAATAATAATACTAATACTCTGATAGGTTTCACCTTTCCAGTACCCCTCAAAATGATAATCAGGAGTCTGCTCTTCTCAGTTTTTCCATACTTCCCAGAGGTCTCATCATGTGCTGTGTACTCTTATACCTTAATTGAAAGGGAGGAGATATTGAATATTTAATCAGTTTCCTTTCTCTTAAATGTTAATTAAAAGCTAAATAGGTGTTTAAAAACAAACAAACAGAAAGCCCAAAGAATTTTAATCAGTGTAGGAAAAAATCACTTCCCCTCGTAATAGCTCCACCAAAACTCTCTTGGGTCTTGTCTGCACATAAACTTGTGCCTGTTCAGCAGCATTTAATACACTGAAAGCTGTGAGACCCCCTGTACTGACACATAGGTTTTGTTTAAGAGGGCCCAAATTCAGTTTGGTTGGAAAAAAAAAATAAAACAAAATAAAAATATTTGCTGGATAGGGAGATGAGGTTGGAAAGCGTTCCAGACTACATGGGCTCAGATGACGCTTTTGTTATCTGTGTCTTCTCAAACAGCTCAGTCTGTGACAACGTGCATATTCTGAATTGAATGCGTGTGGGTTATATTTTGGGGCTAAATAAATGGCACTCTGATTCTGGAACATGAATATCCAACCACGGAGGAAACGAGAAATGACATCAGTGGGTAAACATACTTCAAATTACTTAAGCACCAATCTGAGTAAGAGTTGGTAATTTGAACATTGACATAACCACATTTCTTGTGATACCAGCGTTTTATTAGCTTTATTTACACCCACTGCAGCAGCAAAGGCTTGAATTTCTAATTAAAAAAAAAAAAAAAACAGAAAAACAGAAACATTTCTACAGTTATTCTCCTCCAAACAAGTGTATAGTTCCTCTCTTCATGCAAAAAAAAAAAAAGCAAACCAGACATATGCAGGCTGCTTTTTCATCCAGTACCACCACAGGTACCACCACACACTCTGCTTTTCCACACTCCTTCCTGGGGAAGCTCAGAGTGATCTTTAAGCATAAGTTAAAAATTCCCGTGCCAGCCCAGGCAGTGCCAACAGGGAAAGGATGGGCAGAAGAATGAGTGACGCACCCAAAGCAGACCTAGGATGGACCAACAGGACAACTCTCCTGGCTCTCCATCCCGCGCCCCGTCCCCACACCAGTTCCTAATCCCTTTTCTCACAACTTCTGCACTTCTCCATCCTACCTTCTTGAGCCGAGTGCCCCTATTTCCCAAGCAGCTCCAAAGCTCCCTCCTAGGAGGCAAGTTTTACAGTTACAAAGCCTGTAGCATCGACAGTCTGCCAGGACCACCATAAATTTGAAGCCCACTGATATTTTTCGCTGGAGTGATGCTGTGTACAGACACTGAGATGGAAGTACAGAAGATATAAATATACACCCATTAAAAAATATAGGCAGATACAAACTACCAGGCTTTGAGCGCTCCAAAGGCTCCAACTGTCTTAACAGCTATTCGATTGAATATATGT